CCCCCCGCCGCCAGCCGCGCCCGGCACCGCCGCTCGCTGCCGCCGCTCAGCACATCCCCGGCGTCCCCGGCACCGCCCGGGCCCGCCATGGCGCCGGCACGGGGCGGGAGGAGCAGCGAGGGAGGAGGAACGCAGGGAGGGACCGGCACCGCCCCCAGCACCGAGCCCGCCCCCGCAGCGGCGCCTCTGTCCCCGGGGTGGGGCAGCCGTGGCCGGGGCCCGGCCGGCTAGGAAAGCACCTGCCAGCTTGGCCGTGTCCCCGCCGTGTGTGCGACAGCCGCCCCGGGCTGTGTGACCCACGTCCCACCCTCACAGTGTCCCTGCCGGCTGTGCGAGTCCTGCTCCAGCCGTGCTCCAGCCCCCATCACGCGTGCAGCAGCCCCTGCCAGGTGTGAAATATCCCCCGGAGTGCGTCCCTCTTGCTGGTGTGTGACAGCCCCGCCAGCTGTGTGACCCCAGCTCCACACAGCCCCTGGCTGTGCAAACCTCTGGCCCGGTGTGCAACGCTCACCTCTGCCCTCCCACGGGCCTTGCAAGGACCCTCCCAGGTGTCCAACCACCCCTCCCAGGCACCCACTCCCCCCACTTCTGACAGCCCCCACGTGGCCCTGGCCCTCCGTGCCATCAGGTGCCTGGGCTTGTCAGGGAATTTCCGCTGTGGAAACAGCCTCAGCGGTGCTTGAGGCTGGGAAAAGGCTCCTGGATAAATCAGGGAATGCTGGTGACCGGCCAGCCCCTCTTCCCAGGAAGCCCCCATGGACAGAGACTCTCACACCTGCATCTTCAGCTCTCAGCAGGAAATGATTTTTAAAAAACTGTATAGAAATCATCACTCTCCATGATTCTTTGCTTCCAGAGCCCGCCATTGGCTCCACAATCCCACTCCCATCTCTGGAATCAGCGGAACCTCTGCTCCTCCCACACATATCGCTTCCCTGCTGGAACCTTGCGGAAGAACAGGCTGTTCCCTCGGCTCATGTTGCCCTGGAAAGGGAAAATGACCATGGAGGGGCCACAAAAGGTCCAGGCTGGCCTCTCCAAACTCCATGGGGCTCCCACCTGGCTCCTCTCCATGTCCTGGTGTCCCAGAGCAGTGCATCCCAGCTCCAGCACTTACCTCCCTGTGCAGCTGGCTCCAGCAATCCAGCCAGGAGGAGTAGGTGGGTGCATAGGGAAGGAGACCCCCGGCCAACCTGGGGAAGGGACAAAAGACCCACCGGGAATTATTCCCACAGGGAATTATGCCCACCCAGGAATGACCCATTCCCTCTGTAGCTCCACACTGGGTTGTGGCCCTCTCCCACTTTCAGCAAGGAGGGATCGACCCTGTGGAGCACTGGAAGCACCTTTCCACCTGGGAATTTCGGTAAGGTGGTTCCAGGAGCTGATCCGGGGCAGAGGGATGCCGGTGTCACTGGGACCAGGGACTCACCCGCAGTTGTTCACAGCCATCAGGTTGGAGACCAGGACGAAGGGGTAGGTCAGCATGCTGGCAAAGAACTGCAGGAAAAGTGGGGATAAGTGGGATGTTCCCTCTCCCCTCCACATCGGGAGCACCCCTTGGAGTTTCACCCCGGGGGAGGGAGCCCACTCCTGCCACCTCCACAGCGTCACACGTGTCCTCCACGGAGCATCCCTTGGTCTGTGGGCTAATCCAGCTGATCCCAGCCTGGCTCCATCCCCACCCTGGCAGCCACAGGATTCCAGGAACACACCATTTCCTAGGGAAAGGATCCACCCCCTGCCCGTGGCTGTACTCACCCCAGTGACTGCCTGGGAGTAGCTCTTCATCTCAGTCATGGTGGAGACCTGAGGGAGGAGCAGCACACCTCAATCCCCCCAGAACGGGGTCGTGGCTCCCAGAACACCCCTGGAGCTGCCCCCGTCCGCTCCCGGCACTCCGGATCCCGGAGCAGAGCCTACCCCGTTCTCCAGCGCGTACGTGTTGATGAGGTAGGCCAGCATGTTGCACAGCCACAGGGAGAGGATGTCCCCGAGGAGCCGCGGGATGAGGCCGCTGCAAGGGAAGAAACAGCGGGAATGTTGGCCGAAGGCTCGGATCCGAGAGCTGGGAACAGCTGGTGTGGGACAGGGAGATGGGGAACAGCCATCCCTGGGGATGCTCGGGTGAGTGATCCGGAGCCGCTGGAGGGATTCGAGATACTCCCAAGGTGGCTTTGGGACCTCCCCACTGATGTCACCCCCCCGGTGCCCCTCCTTGCCTTCCCGGCACTCACGCGAAGAATCCCAGGATTCCCTCTTCCCGGTAGATTGTGGCGAAGGCGCTTAGTGTCCCACTGGGATAGAGAGAAGAGGAGGGACAACGTCAGGGGGAGCCAGGATGCCGGGCCTGGCGGAGCACGCGGAGCCCGGAGCCATACCTGTACTTGGTCTCGCGGCCGATGAACTGCACCATGCAGCGCAGGGTGATCACTGCGGGGACACGGGGTGACACCGAGGGACACGGGAGGCACCTGGCACCGCGCCCCCCGGTCCCGTGGGATGGGGACACACCTACCGTGGAAAGGGTGGGTGATGAGGGTGGCGGCAGAGCGGGCGACCATCTCCCGGGAGGTCTGGGAACAGAGGGAGCGTCAGCAGGAGGGGACAGGGATGTGGCATCCCAGTGCCTTCCTCCTCCTCCTCACCTCCTTGAGCACGTGCTCCAGCGAGGACACCGGCTCCTTCTTGCTGGCTCCAGGCTGGAGGGGGAAGGAGGAGTCAGGTGGGAGCAGCTGCCAGAGACAAGACGCTGTCCCCTGGGAGGAGCTGGACGCTCCCGGCCCACTGGAGTGCTCCGGATGCAGGGCTGGGGCTGCCCAAATCCGGGAGCCGTGGGGAGGAGGGAGAGAGGGAAGAGAGAGGGGAGGAGGAAGAAAAAACGGAGGGAAACAAAGGGGAAAAGGAGGAGGGAAGGCATGGAGAAGGGAGAACAGACAGAATGAAGGAAAGAGGGAAGGAGAGAGAGAAGAGGAGAAGGGAAAGAAAAAGAGGAGAAAAAGGAGAAAGGAATGAGGGAAAGAAGAAAAGAAAGAAAGGAGAAGGGAGGAATAGAAGAACAGAGAAATAGAAAGAGGGAGAAAGGGAAGGGAAGGGAAGGGAAGGGAAGGGAAGGGAAGGGAAGGGAAGGGAAGGGAAGGGAAGATTCCCTGCGGGAAGCACGTCTGCACCCACCTCAGCCTGCTCGGCCTCCTGGTACCGCTGTGGAGCAAAGGGCAGGGTCAGCGCAGGGTCAGCACCGTGCGGGGAGCCAGGGGGCCCCGGTGTGCCCCCGTCCCGGCGGCGGAACCCCCGGTTCCCGCAGCGCCCCGGGCCCGGCGCCCCGCCCGTGCCGGTACCTGCAGCACTTTGCTGTGCACCACGGTGCCGATGGCGCTGGAGCAGAGGCGGGGGGCGAGGCCTTTAAAGAGTCCTGCTCTCCCGTCCACCTTTACGATGTGCTTGGCTGGGGACAGCGGGGACCGTCAGCCCCGGGGGGACCCCACGGCGGCACCGGGACGGCGCCGGGGCGGCCCCACCAGGGCGGACTCACCGTAAGAGAAGAGGCCGGGCAGCTGGTATACCTGGCGGCCGAAGATGTTCCTCCCCAGGGTGGGCGGCAGCGGCTCGTAGCCCACCTGCAGCGGGAACGGGCAGGCTGTACCCCCCGCGCGGCCGATACCGGGCCCGGTACCCCCTCTCAACCCCGCCCTTACCTGCACCAGCACCTTCACGTACATGAGCGGCTGCGAGAGCACGGTGAGCCCCGAGCCCAGCAGCACCTGCGAAGCCGCGTCCGCCATGGTGCCGCCCCGGCGTCACGGCACAGAAGGACACGGCCACGGCTGCCGCCGCTTCCGCTTCCTCCTCCCCGGTAGTTCCGGCGCCGCCGTGACGCGCTTCCGGCCGCGGGGGGGCGCTCTGGGAGCGCCGCGGCTGCCATGGAAACTCCCGACGGCGCCGCGGGGGTGTTGCCATGGCAACGGGGCCTGCGGGACTGGGGGCACCCACGGAGCCTGTGGGGACGCCGCGGTACGGGGGGACAGCGGGGAGACAGGGCTGAGGGGTCACCTGGGTGGTGGAGCTAGCGACACCACATCCCCAGAGCCCAAGGTGACACCATGGTGGTAGGGCTGAGGTGACACGCTGGTGGGAGGGCCCCAGGTAGCACCACAGGCATAGGCTGACACCATGGTGGCTCGGGGTTGGGTGCTAGCAAGACTCTGGCCAGGCTCGGGGACAAGAGGACCCCTGAGGGGACATGACAATGCGAACAGGCAGCACCAGGCACAGACACGGAGGTGGCAGCACCTTTACTGCCGAGCACAGGCGCAGCAGCGTGGGGCCGCAGCACGGACAGTGACGGGACGTGCCCTGTCCCTGGGCCTGCGCCCGCCCCGCTGCCAGGATGGCCCCAAGATTGCTCCCACAGCTGGATCCCGGGAAGAGTCACTGGTGGCAGCACAGTGGCAGGGGCTCAGCGGTGGCTTGCGACATGTCACAGCGCTTGTGCCACTGTCCTGCTGATGCTCTCCCATGGTGGCACAGCAGCCATTCCCTGCTTCAGGCGCCCTGGGAAGGGCCACTCCAGAGTCAGCTCCAGGCACCTCTCCCGCGATGGCACGGGGGCCATTCCCTGCTCCAGCTGCCCTGGGAAAGGTGATGCTGGAGCTGGCTCTGGGCTTCTCTCCCGCACTGCCACCTCCACTCTGGACACCAGGAAGAACTGGATGCCTGCGGGTCCCAGCCTGGGGGGCACAGGAGAGGTGTCAGACCCACCTGAGGGGTGGGACAGCACTGGGGACAAATGTCCCCGCAGGACTGTCCCCTCGGGGCCAGGATGGACTGTGGTGGCTCCAGACTCACCGGGATGCTGGTGTGGCTCCGGTTTGTTCGGCGCAGGACATTCCTTGCTCTCCGTTTCCGCAGCTGCTTTTTCCTGTGTGGCTCTACCTGTGCCAGGTGGTAAAGTGGCACTGGGACATCTGCACCCTCTGTCACCATGTTCCACCCTGGCTCTGCATCCCTGCCACCTCAAAAATCAGTGGCACATGGAGACTCACTGTTCGGTCGGGGCTGTGGAAGTCATCTGGGATCCCTTCGGATACGGAGCTGTCGGAGCCACTGGTGCTGCAGGGGGAAAGAACCATCTGCAGCCCCCAGTGGCACTGCAGGTGACATGAGGTGACAGGGGATGACATACCTGGACTCAAGCTCTGAGGGGGACACATCGCTCCAGCTGCCTCCAGAGCCTGACTCACGACTCATCTGCCGCTGCAGCAGCGCATCTACCTCCGCCAGGCACTGCTGGAGCTGCGGGACAGTGCCAGTGTCACGGTGTCACCGTGGTCCCATGGCACCGGGGCACCCTGGGCCAGGTCCAAGCCCACCTTGGCGGGCGCAGGGTCGCAGAAGTCGAGCAGGGTGTCACAGAGGAGGCGGCCCAGTGACTCGAGGTCCTCCACACTAAAGTGGGAGCTCCTCCCACCTGGAGGGGACAGAGAAAAGGAAACAAGGGCAGCTCCCCAACCCAGGACCACCCCACTGGCACCGTCCCCGTGGCTGTGGCAGCCCCTCACCCAGCGTGGAGCCACTGAAGGCCACCTCTAAGGTGTAGCTGTGGGAGACACCCAGGCGCCACATGGAGACCCGGCCTGTCCCCTCTTTGCTCTTCTGCACCTGGTACTTGCAACTGGAGAAGGAGAACTGGGGGCCCCCAGGGTCAGAGGGGTCCCAGCCCCACAGGGACAGCCTGGGAAGTGGCACGGTGGCTGCAGTGCCACCGCAACACGTGGCTCTGAGGCACTCGTGTCCCACCTTGTCGGGGGCGTTTTTGCTCAGCATCAGGGGGAACACGCGCTGGCGCAGCCGTGGCCCGGTGCCGTCCCCGCCGGCATCGCAGCCGTACATGAAGACGTTGTTCTTCCGGCTGTGCCCGTGGAAGTCGCAGTACAGCACCACCTCCCGCTCCGCCAGCACCCTGCACACATCAGGATACGGCCACCAGCACCGCCACAGGGGTGGCCCTGTCCCGCCGGCTCCCCGTGCCTGCCTCACCTCTGGACCATGGCCCGCAGGTGCCACACGCTGGGGAAGGAGCCGGGAAGCGCCTTCCCATAGGCCCTGTTGGGATCCCGTCCCGCCAGGGAGCAGCGGGAGTTGCCCACCACCACCCCGTCAGGGTTGAGCATCGGCACCACCTTGAAGATGAAGAGGCGGCGCAGGAGCTGTGCGTCCTCGTGGGCGCTCAGCAGGAAATCCAGGAATCCCCTCATGGCCCAGGAGCCGCCGCTCTCGCCGGGGTGCACGCGGGCGCTCGCCACCACCGCCCGCTTGCCGGCCGTGCCGCCCGGGCCAGTGACAGTCAGCAGGTAGACGGTGTTGCCGGCCAGGCTGCGGCACAGCGCCTGCACCGTGCAGAACCGTGAGCGCACCGGGTCGGCCGCCAGCGCGCGCAGGTAGCGCTGCAGGTCCGAATAGGTGTAGGGGTAGCAGGCGGCGAAGAAGCACGTGTCGCCGTCGTGCGGGAAGCGCACGGTCCAGCTGAGCCGGGACATCGGCGGCTCCCCCGCACTGCCACTGTAGTAGCGGACGTCGGTCCCGACCCGGCGCCAGCCTATGCCACGGCTCTGGGCATCCCGCTGGGAGTAGAGCAGTGGCTGCAGGCCCTGGCCATAGAGGCTCTTGGGCTTGGCCATGTTGGCGATGGTGAAGCGGTAGAGCGGCTCCCGGCGCGTGTTTTGGACACGGAAGTAGAACCACTGTGTGTGTTTGGCCGTGTACAGGTCTGGCCGCAGCATCAGCACGTACTCGTAGGGACCCCTGCGTGGAGGGAAGGGCAGTGCTCCGGATCCAGGCTGACACGAGAGGCCCCGTGCTCCCCAGCCTCTCTCTTACACCTTGATGGCCGTCTGGAGGTTCCCACTCTCAAAGCGGGACTCGAAGAGCAGCGTGGTGTCCTGCGGACCCTCCAAGGGAGCTGCTGGCGAGGAGAGTGGCCCTGCGGCTCCTCCAACCCGAGCACGGGTAAAGCAGGAGCCTTGGAGTGCTGTGGAGGGAGCAGAGACAGTGGTGGGGGTCTGGGGAGTGCGGAGGCACACAGAGGTGCTGCCCGTGCTCCCTTACCTGGGCTGGAGTGGTAGACGACAGTGCCCTGCTCCTCACCGAGGGTGTACAGGGCCTGCTCCGGGCCCATGGGAGGGCAGAAGGGCTCTGGTTTGGGGGGGACCCACTCTGGGAGAGGGGGGACACAGAGACAAACGCCATACACACAACAGGGGTCTGGCAAAGGGGTGAGGTGGGGAGACAGCTGGAGCATCCCCTCACCAATGTGCTCAATCGTCTCCTGGATGACTTCACACTCCACAGGCCAGCGGGGAGCAGGGAGGGAGAATGGAGCCTGTGGTTCTCCTGGAGACCTCCAGGGCTGCGTTAAGGGGGCTGGTCTGCCCTGGTGGGGCGTCTGCACCACCCTGGGGGCTGCACAAGCACCGGGGAGGGCTGGGGGTCTCCAATGTGGTTGGGGTAGGGGCACCCCCAAAACCAAGGCAGGGACAGGGGCATTCCCCAAAACCAAGGCAGGGACAGGGAGACGGCCTCCCACCACACTTGCTGTGCTGGGAGGACGCTGTACTTGGGGAGCTGTGAGGGGCTGCAGGGTCTCACTCACGGTTTGGCTCGTGCCCAGGACCTCGCTGCCAGCCAGGGCTGGTGGATGCCTTGGGATGCTGCCTGGAGGGTTCCCCCGGGGACATGGCATTCCCTTCCCTGCCCATCTTCTCATCTTGGGGAGAAGAGCGCTGCAGCCAGGGGGCAGGAGGGGACACAGCCCAGGGACAGGAGGGCACAGCGGCCAGGCCTCACCTCGGAAGTAGCCATAGAAGCGCAGGTGGGTGCAGATGAAGCTGTCATAGGGCTTCAGGACCTGTCTCCCACCGAAACCCCCCGGAGCTCCCTCCCCTCCCTGGGCAGCGCGGCACCCTGCAGGCTCCATGGCTGTGAGAGCCCCGGGAAACCCAAACAGCAGAGGCAGTGTCAGGGCTGGGCTGGCAAGTGGTTGCTGAGCTACAGGGAGGAATGGGGCGGTCCTGGAGCAGAGCTGGGAAAGGAGCCAGAGGGATTTCAGAGTCATTCAGGTTGGAAAAGACCTCCAGGATCATTGAGCCCAACCCGTGACCTCGTCACCCAGACTAGAGTGCCATGTCCAGTCATTCCTTGGACAGCTCCAGGGCTGGGGACTCCACCACCTTTCTCAGCAGCCCCTTCTGATGCCTGACAACACTTTCAATGAAAAAATTCCTCCTCGTGTCCAACCTCAACTTCCCCTAGCAGAGCTTGAGGCTGTTTTCTCTTGTCCCATCCCTTGTTCCCTGGCAGCAGAGCCTGACTCACGCGCTGGCTGCACCCTCCTGTCAAGGGGTTGTGGAGAGCCAGAGGGTCCCCCCAAGCCTCCTTTAGTCCAGGCTGAGCCTCAGCCCAGCTCCTCCTGCTGCTCCAAACCCTTCCTCTGCTCCATTCCCTTCTTTGGACAGCCCCTCTTGCCATGAGGGCTCCAGATTTGTCCCCAGGTAGAGAGGAGGCCACCTCCACTGCTGGAGCTGGCCCAGCAGGGTCAGAACAGGGCACAGGCCTGTGGCCACACCAATGCTGGTACAGGGCAGCTGCCATCGGCCTTTTGTCCACCTTGGCTCCTGTTCAGCTGCTCTCACCAGCATCCCCAGGACCTTTCCCAGCTTTCCAGCCTCTCTTCCCCCAGCCTGGAGCATTCAACAGGGTTTGTATGACCCAAGTGTAGGACCTGGCACTTGGCCTTTACCCTCAGCCCTTCAATCCAGCCTGTCCAGTTTCCTCTGCAGAGCCTTCCTGTCTCCACAATCCACACACCCACCCAACCAGTAATTGTGGATTACAGGGGTTTTGTGCTCCCCATCCCCATCTACCACCTGCCCTTAAGCAGAATCAATGAGATGGCACTTCCCAAACTGCTACAATTTATTGGACAATGGTCAAAGGAACTGTACATCTGTAAAAAAAAACCAAAACAAAAAAACCCCAAGAGGTGGGCACGGCCCTGCATGCCTCATGTGCTCGAGGCCGTTTTCCTCCGCTTCAGCCGTGACCGCCAGTCCTCTGGCAGTGCCTCGAAGTTGGCATTCCTCTCAGCCATGCCACTGCAGGGATAAAGCAGAATGTCAGCACACAGCTGGCATGGATCACCCACCTTTACAAGGCACCAGGAAATGTCCTGGTGCCAGCCCCCGGGGTCTGCACCTCATCAGCTGCTGCTGCTTCCACTCCTCGATGCGCCGCTGGGCTGTGGTCTCGCGGTCCTCCTCACTGGAGCTGGAATTCTCCTCCTCATCCAGCTCCCGCTGGATACTTTGCCACTTCTTCACCAGAGATGGCATCTTTGTCTTGCCCTTCTTGCCCTGTGCCACAAAAATAACAGTGGTGAGCATAGCTAGAAAGGGAGGAGGGAAGGAAGGTGTTGGTGTGAGACCACCCATCTGGCCTACCTTGTCCTTGCGCCCCTTCCTTGGCTTCTCCTTCTCTGGAGGCGGCGGCGCCTTGGGGGTGGGCGGTGGGGGCGTCTGTGGGGGTGGCGGGGGTGGCGGCTGCTCAGCTGCAGTGCCCGCGGCTGGCAGGGCTCCCCGTGCCGGCACTGGCTGCGTGGTGGCCGTGCTGGCCAGGCTGACGGGCACCGCGCACTCCGAGTATCCCATCATGGAAGGCGCGGCAGGTCCGGTCACACCCAGGTAGCTGGACTGCAGCCCCAAGGCTGTGGGCTGAGGGCCAGCGTGGCCGGGAGCCATGCGCAGGTTGGGGCGTCCCTGGATCTCGCTCTGGAGGCGCTGGCGCGGCCTTAGGGAGGCCAAGGGCACGGCTGATGGCTGGTACTTGCCCGTGGCCATCAGGGGCTGGCTGTAGATGACAGGGCAGCTGCCAATGGTGGCCGTGCGCTGCACCAACCCCGGGCTCATCTCTACTGCTTTTCTCTTCTGCGGCTTGGCTGAGAGCAGCGGGGCTGGGCTCGGATCAACAGTGGCCTGGAAGAGAGTGCTGAGGTGAGTGTGAGCCAGGAGCACCTTTACACACCCATTTCCCAGAGTCACACTCTGGAATCAGTGGAGCCCTGGCACCAGTGCTCACCTGGCTGCTGCTGGCAGCAGGGCGCACCAGGGACTTCAGAGGAGCATCCTCCTCTGTTCCTGGGGCAGGCGGCTCCTCACCCCCCTCATCTTCCATCTCCACTTCCTGGATCTCCCCATCTTCTCCAGGTGGTGGGGGTGGCGGTGGAGGTGGCGGGGGCGAGTCTGGAGGGGGTGGAGGTGGCGGAGGCATTTCCAAAGGCAAGGGAGGTTGGAGGACTGGGACAGAGGACTGAAGCAGAGTCCAAAACGGAGTGAGTGGCATGAGAGACGTAGCAGGAACTTGGCCTGAGAAGGATTCTTTACAAAGGGAGCCTGAAAAACACACATTGACACGGGCTTGAACACCTGGCCTACAGTCTGTACCACCCACTCTTGCCCACAGTCTTGCCAGGACCCTCCCTGCCAGCGAGGCGTACCTGCGGGGCGCTCGGCAGGCCCCTCGGCGTGCTCTCCTTTGTCTTTGGGAGGTGGCTTTGGAGGACTGTCGGGTTTTCTGTCGGCGGTGCCTCGCTGTCCATCCTCTTCGTCCTCCCCGTCGGGGAACTCCCATTGCGACTCTCCCGAGCGCTCGTTAACATAGAAATAGCGTCTATGCTCCCTAGATCACAAGAAACAAAAGGAGGCTTCAGCTTCCCTTCTCCGCCCCCGACACTCCAAGGCGGGCCTGCCCACGACAGCGGTGCGCTCTCGCAGGGGAGACCCTCGTGCAGCAGGGCTGCCGCTCTCCCACACACAACAAACAACTTTGAGGACAGAGGCAGGAGAGGCCCGAGCCGACTCGCTCAAAGCTATTTGCTATCGCTGGCTGCGGGAACGTCGCCCTGAGCCCCCCCACTCCAAGGGAGAGGAGGGCCGGGAACGCCGGCAACGTCTCGCTAACATTGGGACTTTCAGCACGGCCTTGGCTGAAAGTCGTCCTCCGAGAAGAGGCACAGGGGAACAGCCCAATGGAGGGAAGCGGCTGCCCCCCTACCCCATGGTGCGCAGAGTTTTTTAAGATACTCTTGGTGTCAAACACACAGTGAATGCTAGAGAGAGGGAGCGGATCTGGGAGCTGAAAAACAAAAGAGCAAAGATTTCAAACAAAGGAAAATTAATCAAGAAAGCCAAATAGACAAAGAAATGTTTGGGTCTGACCTGCTGGCAGGAGACAGAAATCTTGTTCTTCGTTCCGTCGGTGAGTTGAAGTTTGTCCTTTAGAAGAGCTGTTGGTCAGAAGAGTTGATCCAGAGATCCTGCAAAGTTCACAGAGCTCTCGCATGCGCGACCCCCCAGGCCCGCCCTCCACAGCGCTGGACACTCGCGAGAGGCACAACCAGCTCTGTCCGTCAGGGAATCTGCTCCGTCGCAAAGCACTGGGCACTCCGTTTGGATCCTCCAGTTTGGTGGCTGGCCCAAACTCTGCGAGTGCCGGACGTTTCTCTGCCTGCCCAGCACTAACAGAAGCCGCTCTCAGTCTGCCAGAGGGACGGCGCCAGCGTCGTCGGGTGGTTGATGGTCACAAATCATGTCTGAGATGTCAGAGATGAAAGGTGAGAAAGGAGGAGAGCGCGTACCTGTCCCAGTGGCAGGACCAGCCTTTAGGGGTGGCGTTTATTTCGTATTGTTTAAGCTGTTCGGCTGCGTCTTGGAGTTTGCGTTTGAGGTAGTTTCCATTGAGAGCACCTTCTCGCCAGTCTGCAATGCGGGTCTAGAGGGCAAGAACCGGGGGAAGCCGGTGAGGTGGGCTGCCAGTGGCCCTGGGGGGGACGGGACTCGAGGATCGGGAGGCTCCCTTCCGGCACGGGACGCGGGGGGCCAGGAGGAGGACACCCCGCCTCCGCGCCAAGCCACGCTCTCCCCCCGCCGAGGAAGGGAGGGCCCCGCGCGGCAAGGCGCCACGAGGCTCACGCAGCACCGGCGCTCGGACGGCGGATTGCATCCGATCCGCTCCGGAACACGAGGCCGGAGCGAGGGGCGAAGGCTCGGTTACCTCTGTCTGCAACAGCAACATGTGGAAGTTGGAGATAGATTGTCTGTTGATGCCCAGGAACTCCAATTTACTAGTCAGAGTATTTGCCAGCTCTCCAATCTGAAACTGCCAGGAAAAAGGGCAGAGTCAAGGGCTGCCCTCTGGGAGCAGCGCTGGGTGGCTACGGCCCTGCGGCTCTCAGGAAACACCGCTCAGGACCACCCGCAGCCCCTCAGCTTAGTGGGACTGAGATGTGCCACCCTGGCCCTGTGTGCCTGTCACCCCATCTGTTAAGTCCCACTACATGCTGCACCCCAGGGACAGGGCAGTGTGGGTGGCTGGGTGACAGCTCCTCCACGGACTGCGCTTGACTCTGTGCGGAAGGACAGCATGGGCTCCGGTCGCTCCGGTACTTTGGAGTAACAGCAGAACTACTGCCACAGCAGATATCTAAGAATGTTTCCCAAATAAATGGGCCAGGATATCATTCCAAGTTCTGTAAATAATTGCTTTCCAGAGGAACTAGCTGGAAAGCACCAGAAAGGGACAACAGCTCTGGACTTACTGCAGAGCAGAGGCAGCAGCTACATCAACACTCAGGTCAGCTCATGGTGACCATGGCTACTCAACCCCAGCATCCTATGGGAGTGAAACCTCCAGTCTGGGGACACGGGGATCCCAGAGTCCATCCCCCTGACTGGAGCCACTGTATGGAAGCAGCCACAAGCCAGAAGGGAATCCAGAACAGGAATGTCTGCAAGTAGCATCACCACTGC